GCGGGGCTGTGCCCGCGGCGGCAGCTCCTGGGAAAGCCAGGGCACCTGCTGGGACCGGGACCAGGGCCGGCCCAGAGGTGCTCACCACCCCAGGGCTGCAAAGTCCTTCCCAAGCCAAGCAGCCACTGCCCTGCTCATCCCTGCAGAGGTCACGGCCAGCACAGCCCGAGCAGACCCAGAGCCCCAGCCCCACAGGACCCCGCAGCACCCAGCAAGCCCCTTACCTAGCTGAGGTTCCATAGCAGCACACACACACTCCTGAGCACACCAGCCAAAAGCTCCAGGCCCAAACAGCCCAGCTCTGCTCACAGGCTCAACTCCCTTCCAGCTGATTTATCTGATTAGCACCCAAACTGCTGGGGCTGGTTGGCAGCTGCTAATTGCACCAGTTGCTGCCCCAGTGGGAGCAGGTGGCTGGGAAGCTGATTGCCCTTTGCCAAAGCTTTGCAAGGGGCTGGAGGGAGAAGGGGCACATCTGAGCAGAGGATATGTAGTGAGGTGAGAGGAGGTTTGTGGGGTCATTGCCCTGAACGTGCAGGGAAAAGGCACCTACTGGTGGTAGGGTGCTGGGGTGGTGGCTTGCTGTGGGACACAGGGAACCAGCCTGCCATGTGGGGCCCACATGGCACCCATCCCCAGAGTGCTGGTGTGGTGTGCCAGCTCCCTTCTCCTGGGGTGGCCCTGCTGAGCAGTGGGAGGCTGCTTTGCAAAGGAGCCTGATAACAGGTGGGAAAAATGATCCCACAAACGAGAGGAGGAAAATGGAAAGCTGCTTTACTAGCCAGTGAAGGCAGGAGGAGTGACCATCCCACAGGAGCCTTGGGAGTGCACTTGCTAGCAGCACCCCACACTTGCCCCTGGCTGCTGAATTCTGTCATGCTCAGAGGAGAGTGTTTGAGTGGGCCAGGTGGGGGTCCCTGAGGATCCCAGGATACTTGTGTGTCATGCCTGTGTCAAAACTGATTCCTCCTGTGATCCTAAGGACATGCAGGATGTTTGTGCTACCTTCTGTCCTGCCTGTGCCCACAAGGTGAGCCCATCACAAACTGCTCTTTGGTGCTGGAGTCGTGTGAACGTCCCCACCCCAGGGACAGCTGTGCTTCTCCCCCACGCACCATGTCAGTCCCTTCTTCTTTACACACATCATGTGTGACAGCCCAAGGAAGGGCTGTGGTTACATGAGAGCAGGGCTGTTTCATGGCCCAACCCAGCAGATGTGTCACTGCAGCAGTGCTGGTACAAGGTGCTGCCAGGATCACCTTTGTCAGGGTCTGTGCCTGCCTGCTGAGCCCAGGGACAGATTCTGGCAGGGACTGAGCTGCCAGCAGGAGCCAGGCCTGGAGCAAAGAGCTGGGACAGGTACCCAGTGCTGGGAACCTGCATGCCCAGCTTCCCTCAGACCAGCACTGTTAGGCTGTTTCCCGCTCCATTCTCAGTCCATTTCTGAATTCCCCTGGAAGGGTCTGGTGGGGACACTGGGAAGGCTGCAGGGGCTGGCACCATGGCAGAGTAGGTGCCTCACTTGTAACCACCTCCTCCTGGATCTGGCCGGCTCTGTGGTGCCTCCAGCACTCTCCTGGGCTGGCAGGGGGACCCCAACCCTTGCTTGCCCCTTCCACCACCAGCAGCAGCTGCAGGGCATGTCCTGGGGCTGTGCCGAGCAGCCCAGGGCCCCTGGGGAGCACAGCCCCACCGACAGCAAGAAAACACTAAATCCTTCCTCCTCTTCCCTCCAAAACCAGCTCCCACATTTGAGGTACATGAATCAGACATCAGCCTAAACACTGAATTATTCATAAACCTCTAATCTTTAGATTTCACTGAATATGCAGAAGTATCAATAAAAAAAAATAATGAGAGAATTGTACTTGCAAATTGCTCTTTAATAAAGGTTTAACTCGCGTGGGTTCTATACGTTCCCTATCAGACCTTGCAAAGCTGCATAGGATTAGAAATCAGAGAGGATAATAATGTACAAAAATAGTTTTAAATGTTGATAACACTGAACAGCAAGAAAAACATCTTATTTGTATAACTGAGCTAAAAATAAAAATGAAGAACACTGCTACAATTGCAACCTGCCATCCTGTAGTGCTTGAAACATACGCTGACGTCTCTGAGCCGTATGCTCCCGCGTCTTGCCTGCTACACCGGGGCGAAGCTGAGCGGGCACCGACCCGGCCCCGCGAGCACAGGCGCGGCCGAACCCCCCCGTGGCTGGTGCCGAACCCCCCCGTGGCTGGTGCCGAACCCCCCCCGTGGCT